ATGACATGATTGTCATTGAATAAATGAGTAAATTCTTGATACTGTAAAAAAAAAAGAGAGAGAGAGAGGAGAGAGAGAGAGAGTGAGAGAGAGAGAGAAAAGAAAAGAAAGGAGAAGGGACCTGCCCAAAGAGCCTACCTACCTCATTGCAAACACCATGGGCATACACCAAGTTCAGAAGCACTGGCCCCGAGTTTAAAAGGACTCTGTGCTTGGTTGAATGCTCTTCTGTCGCAGTCCTGAAATTCTTAATACTTTTTAAAAAGAAACCTCACATTTTCATTGTGCACTAGGCCTTGCAAATTGCATAATGTTTTGTATTCAACCTTCACTCCTGTTGATGTGGGGAACAGGTCCCAAACATCTAAGCCCAACTTTTCCACTTTGCAGTGAATTTCATCATCCTAGTCTTTCAGGGACTCTACCCTTATTATTATCCTTTAACTTCTGTCTCACAAATTTGTTTCTTCTGGATCATTCCCTTCAACTTTCAAACATGCTTAATGTCACTTACCTTTATACTATTATGTGACCCACTTTATCTTTCTACCACCCCAATTCACAGAAAAACTTGGGGGAAAATGCTATATTTGTTTCTCTACTTCCTTACTTTCCATCTCACCTTAGTTTAATCAGTCTTTTCTTAAAAGCCATTGGCCAATGTGTAATGATCTCCATCCATGCCAAATCAATGGACCACTATTATCTTTCTCAGCTTCTCTGCTGCATTTGACACAGCTGACCACTTCCTTTTTGCTTAAGAAAACACCCAAGGATATTTTTCCATTGATTCTAGGGAGAGTGGAAGAGAAAGGGAAAGACAGAGAGAAACATTGAAGTGAGAGAGAAACACATCAATAGGTTGCCTCTTGCAACCGAGGTATGTGCCCTTGACCAGAATCGAACCCTGGACCCTTTTGTCCGCAGGCCCACCTCTATCCCTAAACCAACCTGACTAGGGCTAATGTTTTTTATTATATATGTATAGGTATAGAACTAAATAGAAATGTGTGTGTGCATGCACATTCACCTATGTTCCTTAGGCGTGGGAGGGCCTGGGAGCAGTGACACCATAATAGCAATGAGCAGATCTTGGTCTCTAAATATGACTTAGTGCCTAGATCATTTTTTAAATCCTATTCTCCACTAAGAGATTAAACTAGAGCTTCTTAGCATAGTGGTTGACTTCAGGGGGCTGGAAAAATGACATCTTGTTATACCAGAAAATAAAGGATGTTCGGAGAATGATGGGGAATGTCAAAGGATATAGACTCCAGCTTGAATGGGACTCCCATTGGCCAAAGCTATGACAATCTGGCATCAAAATAAATAAGGATGATAACAGTTTACAAGCCACTGAATAAAATAGGAGACCATGAGTTCATACTTAAATACATACGTACATACATACATACATACATATATGCATTCAAAGTATGAGGAGGAATAGCTATATCATTTCAAAATGCCTCCTCAAAAAATACTGATTCATTACAAAAAGGAAAGAGAAACTATAGTGAAGTTTGGCAGACATCCTTTAATCAGTGACCCAAGTGGGACAAGTGGAAATGTGTGCTTCCTGATAGGATGTATCAAGAACACAGGCCCTAGCTGGTTTGGCTCAGTGGATAGAGCATTGGCCCTCAAACTGAAGGGACCAGGGTTATTTTCCAGTCAAGGAGGTGTACCTGGGTTTCAAACTTGATTCCCAGCCTGATCAGGGTGTGTGTGGGAGGCAACTAATCTTTGTGTCTCTTCACATTAATGTTTCCCACTCCCTTCCACTCTCTGTAAAAACCAATGGAAAAATATATTTGGGTGAGAATTAGCAACAACAACAACGACAAAAAGAACACAGCATTGCTTCTGTGATATTCCTACTAAAGACACATAACTTGAATCTAATCATAAGGAAGCCTTGAACAAACCCAAATTGAGAGCTTTGCTACCAAACAACTACAACTCTTTCAAAGCATCAAGATCTGAAAGGCAAGGAAAGACTGAGGGAAAGTTTCCTGACTGACAGACTAAGAGAAATTATTTTTTAAAAATGCATTGTGAGCCCTAGCCGGTTTGGCACAGTGGATATAGCGTCAGCCTGTGAACTGAAGAGTCTCAGGTTCAATTCAGGTCAAGGATACATGCCCAGGTTGTGGGCACAATGGCCAGTAGGGGGTGTGCAAGAGGCAGCCAATTAATGATTCTCATCATTGATATTTCTACCTCTCTCTCCCTCTCCCTTCCTCTCTGAAATCAATAAACATATTTTTTTTAAAAGAAAGAAAGGAAAGAAGGAAGGAAAGGAGGGAGGGAGGGAGGGAGGGAGGGAGGGAGGGAGGAAGAAAGAGAGAGAGAGAGAGGAAGGAAGGAAGGAAGGAAGGAAGGAAGGAAGGAAGAAAGGAAGAAAGACACTGAAATTCTGGACTGAGCCCTCTCACTGTAACTTATTTCATGAGAGCATATGGTGAAACTGAGCTAGGGTCTGATATTAGAGGTTCAATTACACACTCAAGTATTTGAAAGTTCGAAGGTATCAGGTTTAGCAATTTACTCTCAAATGGTTCAAGGTTTTTTAAAAAGTTCCCTGTACTGTACTTGCAACCTTTCTGTGTTTGTATAGTCTCAAAATAAATAGCATTGACATGGGAAGAGGTTAGCAAAAAGCATACAGCTAAAACACATTGGCAAATATTGTCAGGAAACTGATCAGTAAAAGTATTTTGTTATTCTCCTAGGTTTGAGATGTTTCTGTTTTCAGTCAGTTTATTTTACTTTGTAATTGGTAGTAACGTATTTTCTCATTTTAAATATCCACTTTTATACCTGCTTTTCTATTATTAAAGAGGGTGCTCCAAATTGCATAGGCTTCAGGTATTGCCTTTATATACTATCGGGGTATTGCTTTTCTTGCCACCCTTTTAAGGATGAGCAAGCTGAAGCACAGAAATCTCAAATGACTTGCCCAAGGCCACTCAGCTAAGTGATGAAGCAGGATTTAGATCCAGCCAGTCTGACTCTAGAGTCTCCTTTGAGAAGTGTGTGAAGATTCAGCGAGAAAAAAAGAAAAAAAAGAAAAAAAAAGACATGACAGGAACTTTATAAATGTAAGGATTAAGATTACTAACAATCAGCCGAAACCGGTTTGGCTCAGTGGATAGAGCGTCGGCTTGGGGACTGCAAGGTCCCGGGTTCGATTCCCGTCAAGGGCATGTACCTTGGTTGCGGGCATATCCCCAGTAGGGGGTGTGCAAGAGGCAGCTGGTCGATGTTTCTCTCTCATCAACGTTTCTAGCTCTCTATCCCTCTTCCTTCCTCTCTGTGGAAAGTCAATAAAAATATATTTAAAAAAAAGATTATTAACGATCAAATGAAAAATTCATGCCTGTTTGTCGTCGGAGGCCCTTAGGCAGGGGCAATGGGGAGCAAAGTCCTAATGTATGCCAGAAGCTGCTTGGAATATGACATCCCGGACCTCACTTTGTCCACACAGCAGCCCTGCAGGCAGGCGTTACGGTTCCAGATGCAGCTCCGGAGGCCCACAGAGACTTGGGGATCAGCTCAAGGTAACACAACTGGGGTCCAGGAGCAGAAGTCAGGGATGGTGATAGCTGCCCAGGCTGGGCTTGGCACGGTCCACAGACATGACACAGCCAAGGACCTTCCCACCATTTTCACACTCTATGCTCCACCATCTGAGACCGTTGCCAGGACAGTCACCATGTGACTGTCTAGATCATAGGTGGGCAACATCTCCAGACAAGGCAGTATCAAAGTGAGGGCCCAGGTAGCCACCAACTCTGAGAAACTCGGTCGCATAGCTCTGGCTGCACAATTGGGCCAATGGGTCCAGAAGAACAAACAAGGACTTTGAAATCAGACAGATCTGGGCTCTCCCTTTTCTTAGTGGCATGACCTTGGGCAATTCACTTCACCTCTTTGAGTCTCAAAAAGTGAAAATCTTAGCCCTGACTGGTTGGCCTCAGTGGTAGAGCATCGGCCTGCGGACTGAAGGGTCCCAGGTTTGATTCCAATCAAGGGCATGTACCTTGGTTGCAGGCGTATCCCCAGTAGGAGGTGTGCAAGAGGCAGCTGATCGATGTTTCCCTCCCATCGATGTTTCTAACTCTCCCTTCCTCTCTGTAAATGATCAATAAAATATATTTTAAAAAAAGAAAAAAGTCTTAATCGTAGGGAAGACCAGAATATTCGAGTAGAAAGTTCCTGGCACATAGTAGGTATTCAGTAAACAGCAGCCATATTTTATTATTCTTCTGCAAGGGCTTCTCAGCAAACACAGCCTCTCAGGAGCTCTAGAAACCCAGAGAGGGGAAAGAGAGTTCTTAAGGACCTTGTTTCTGCAGGGCCTCCAGAACTGGAGTCAGAGGAAGGGGCCTCCTAAACGGCACAGTGGACAAAGTCCTCGCAGCCCCCCAAGGTCCTGGCTCCCTTCCCTGCAGCTTGTTCCTCACCAAAAACAGGAGCTGAGCCCCAAGGTTAGGCAAACAAGCGAGCGATAAGGCACTTCCAGGTTGGGCCTGTGTTGGGCTTGTCTAGCTCTGGAGCTGACATCTCAGCTTAGCAAGGGTCCTGCAGGCACCAGTAGGGACACCTGCCGTGGCCACCTGCTGAATGTGCACCTGAGGCCTTGGTGCCCTGGTACGGCTTGGGTTAATGACCCTGTTTATCCACTTGAGTCATCCGATAAGGGGCAGCCGGGGCAGCGAACGGGCGGCCCCATGCCCTGCGCCATCCACTTCATTGACTAAAGTGATATCAGGGCCACGTGAAGCTTCCAAGTCCCCTCCCCCAGCACTTCCCCACCAGTCCTGCCAGGGTCAGTGTGTGGTTGTTTCTTTTTTTTTTTTTTTCAATGAACATGACTTTCTAGAGTCAAGGTTGTTGAACCATTCCCCCCGCCTACCCTTGTGGATATAAATAGCACCCACAGCGCAGATCAGAGGGCGGGAGATCTGGGAGGAAAGAGGAACAGATTCTCAACCATGAATTCCAGCCAGCCGGGGACCTGCCCATGCCAGCATGCCGCAGGGCGCCCAGCCATTCTGTATGCACTTTTGAGCCCCAGTCTCAGGGCCAGGCCTTCTGCGCCCCCAGCCCGTAGGCATTGCCTCTGCAAGCAGCACCGGCCTGTCCAGCTGTGTGCTCCTCATCGCACCTGCCGGGAGGCCTTGGACGTTCTGGCCAAGACAGTGGTCTTCCTCAGGAACCTGCCATCCTTCTGCCAGCTGCCCCTCCAGGATCAGCAGCAGCTGCTGCGGGACTGCTGGAGCTCTCTCTTCCTGATTGGGTTGGCCCAAGACACTGTGACCTTCGAGGTGGCAGAGGCCCCTGTTCCCAGCATACTCAAGAAGATCTTGCTGGAGGAGCCCAGCAGCAGCACAGGCAGTGGCCAGCAGCCAGATCTGCCTCGACCCTCGCTGGCTGCAGTGCAGTGGCTTCAGTGCTGCCTGGAGTCCTTCTGGAGCCTGGAGCTGAGCTCTAAAGAGTATGCCTACCTGAAAGGGACCATCCTCTTCAACCCTGGTGAGCTCCCGGACACTCCAGGATCAGGGCCAAGGCTGGAGGGGGGCGGGGCCCTGCCAGGAAGACACCTTCTAAGGGTTTGACATTTGTTACCTCTTTGTGTCCTTATTACAACAGTCATCTCATGAAAGAGGCTCAGGAGGCTAAGTGACTTGTTGAAGGTCACGGCCAGGTAGGGGCAGAAATCAGGTCTATTCACCCTTGCCATTCTGCCCCCCCAAAATTGGCCCTAACCCACAAGGAGGGTAGGTATAGGAGAGGGGGAGGGAGCAGACACAGCTGTGCCTCAATCACAGGTAATCTCTGGATTCAGAAAGATCATATAGAGCAGTGTTTCCCAAACTTCTCTCATGATGAGAATCACCTGGTGGAGTTGTTAAAATACAGATTCCTGAATCCCAACTAAGAAGTGCTAAACTAGAATTTTTGGGAACATATAGGTAAAATCGTATACTTAACTAGTGCTCCAAGTTAAGTATACTATTTTACCTATATGTCCCCAAAAATTCTAGTTTAGCACTTCTTAGTTGGGATTCAGGAATCTGTATTTTAACAACTCCACCAGGTGATTCTCATCATGAGAGAAGTTTGGGAAACCCTGATATAGAGGAATGAAAGTGAGTGGATGTGGGAGAGGAGAGGTAGGAGCCTTTATAAAATTCAGCTAGGAGAGCAACGGATAGAGGTAGTGTTCTTTGTAATCTGGAGAGCATCTAGATTCTAGATGATAAGTCCTCACCACGGGGCTCTTAAGCAATGTGTAAATTATAGTAATTAATTATAATAATAGTAGGGAAATACTCATACTACACGTACCATATGTTAGACCCAATTTTATGGTTTTACATATACAGCTCATAACAAACCTAAGAGATAGTATTTGTATCAATTTTATTTTATTTTTTAAATATTTTTGTTGATTTCAGAGAGGTAGGGAGAGGGGGAGAGAGATAGAAACAACAATGATGAGGGAAAATTATTGATTGGCTGCCTCCTGCACGCCCTCTACAGGGAATCTAGCCCACAACCCTGGCATGTGCCCGTGACTGGAATCAAACCCGGGACCCTTCAGTCTGCAGGCTGACGCTCTATCCACTGAGCCAAGATGGCTAGGCTATACCTATCTTACATATAAGGAAACCAGGGCACAGAGATGACATAATTTGCCTGAGGTCACACAGCTAATAAGTGATAGCCTGGGATTCAAACTCAGACAGCGTGGCTCTTCACCATTACTCTATACTGCCTCTCCATAAATGGATGGATAAATAAAATGATAAATAAGTAAATAGAGGAAGCAGTAAGGGGCCTCAAAAGACTGAGCTGTGGCCTCAGGTCTGAGGCCAATCTCACCCTGTGGTGGCAGGGAGTGGGGAGCTCATCACCCTTCTTTACCCTCTGCCTACAGACATGCCAGGCCTCCAGGCCTCCACCCACATCTGGCATCTGCAGCAGGAAGCTCATCGAGCACTCTGTGAGGTCCTGGAGCCCTGGTGTCCAGCAGGCCAAAGCCGTTTGGCCCGTGTCCTCCTCATGGCCTCCACCCTCAAGTCCATTCCTCCCAGCTTGCTTGGGGATCTCTTCTTCCGCCCTATCATTGGAGATGTTGACATCGCCGGACTACTCGAAGACATGCTTTTGCTGAGCCGACCTGCTCCAGCCCAAACAGAGATCAGCTGTAGCCTGGGCAGAAGATGGCTGCAATGATTTGGCCAGGTTGTCCCCAGGGGTGACCCAATGCTCCCAGAGGAGGCAAGCCTGTACAGACCCTGGCCCAGCTAGATGGACTGTATGAATCCTCACTCAGACACACCCCATCTTGTCCTTCTTTGGTTTGGACATCCTGCTCCAGCTGTGTGGCTGGCCCTTGGTAGTCCTCAGATTCTCTGGACCAAGATTCCTGTCCTCTCCTGGAATGGCGATGGAAGCTTAGACTGTTTGTTGGGCCAGACATTCTACTGATTTTGTACAGAACTGACTTAAGTTATTGGGTTTTATAATAAAAGATTTTACATCCATGGATCCTGACACTGTGGAAGGGACCTTTGTTCATGTGGAAGAAACCTTCTCATCTCAGCCCCCAGCTCCCAGCCCCTATCAGAGGGAGCCCAAGAGGAAGGAACCATGAGGGATGCAGGAGCCAGGCCTCAGAGAACTAGGATATTAATTTCAGAGTGGATGATTCATTTCTGGGGATATTTATTTTGCCTGGGTCTGAATCCAGAGGCTAGGCTCAGTTCAGGACCTCGTCACCTTCTTGTCTTTATCTTTGGGGGGAAGGGGTTTCTCTCTGTCCACAAACCCCTCACTGATCCTTCCCCTCCCTCAGCTCCTACCCCCTAAAGGCTCCCTCTCACCTCAGGGAGAGTCAGATCATAGCCAATAAAGAAAACTGAAACAGACAAGGTCACTGGAATTTCTGTAGATTGGCATCATTCACTTCCCCTATGCCTGCAGAAAACAGAAGAAGAGGGTCCATTGTTCTCCCAATGGGAGGGGTCAAGGACACCTAGGGCTAGCCTGGCAGCTGCTCCAAGGTCAAGGCAAGCAGAGATTTAGCTGCCACATTAGCTGTTAAAGTCTGAAACACTTCATGACAGTTGGTTCATAGCCACTGCCGAAGCTCCCCCAGCTCCCTTGCACTGTATCGTTCCCAGTCCTTCTCCTGGAATCCATTCCCCTTGTCCAGCAACTAGAGAGACGATGGTTGGCATAGCATGGCCTCCAGAACTGCTCCATTTCAGGCATGGCTTATATCTGTACTAACTGGTCAATCTCTGTTCCTCACTGTTTGCTCACTATTTTGAATAGCATCCAGGACAGGGTGACTGACCTGCAGGGTGGATGGGAGGGAATGATAACAACACACATGCCTATAGGACCCCCTTTCAAACCTCCTCCTTTCTCTGGCAGTAAGGCCTGTCTCACCAAAACCGGTTTGGCTCAGTGGATAGAGCGTCGGCCTGCGGACTCAAGGATCCCAGGTTCGATTCCGGTCAAGGGCATGTACCTTGGTTGCAGGCATATCCCCAGTAGGGGATGTGCAAGAGGCAGCTGATCGATGACTCTCTCTCATCGATGTTTCTAACTCTCTATCTCTCTCCCTTCCTTTCTGTAAAAAATCAATAAAATATATTTAAAAGAAAAAATAAATTAAGACCTGTCTCCACCAGGTCCCACCCCCTTCACCAACACAGTTTGAATTCTTCTCACGGGGGACAAGTTCATTATTGCTCAATGAGAGGTCATTCACTCAGGGACAACATCTAGGAGCCAAGCAGCTGAATTGGTCCTGTATGCATTAGGGACACCCAGTGGCAGCAGCAAGGCCCTCTGTTCCTTACCCTGTCACCCACTCACCACTCAGAAACCCAGAATGAGACATACACACACAGCTCAGATCCCACACACAACTCAGACACACATGAAGACACATACAACTCAGACCTACAGCTCTCTCTCACACACACCCATACACTAAGTTGTACAGCTCAGACACACCTACACAGATCCATAAAACAGACCCTCCATCTACCCACACACAGCTTGGAAATACAGACACACTTACTCAATGATATACAACAGACCCAACCAAACACATTCACACTGCAGAGAAATGCACCCAGGCCAGACGATCACACATACATCCCTGTACCCAAGGGTGTGGCACACAACACAGAGACACCCTCACACCAAGATATGTTCTACATCTTTTTGTGTCACAGTAAAAGGAGAAGTGACCCCCCAAATAGGCAGAACTGCATCTGCATATCTACCAGGTCTGCTCAGAGGCTACAAATCCAGGCCAAACTGCTCTGCCTAGCATTTGGGGCCTCCACTAACCAATCAACCCCTTTCCCTATGGTGACCCCAATAGCCACTCTCTTCTCCACCAGATCATGCCCTGTTCAACAGTTCCTCCTAGCCAGGACCTAATCAAATCCCCAAATGGAAGCATCCTCTAGAGCCCAGAAAGAATCCTGCTTTTCCCTTAATCCCTTATCCCCCTCCAGACACCCCAGACCCAGACCTCAGGCCCTCAAGCACTCCGCCCTGCCCTACCCTTCCCAGCATTTTGGCACACACCACCCCCTCTCACCTTGCAGATGCAGGAGGCCATTCTTTTCAGAGCAGACGCCTTGTCTCCCATAGGAGGTTCAGGGATTTGGGGCCATTTTATTGTTTGTGTCTCTTCTCTAACTGATCTCATGAATTTACTGTTGTACTTCTTTGAACCCTCAGGCTGAGTCTCCAGCCTTGAAAAGCCATTAATTAGAAGATATTGCTCTCCACTTCCCACCCCTGCCTTTCCCCCTCAACTTATGTTCCAATCGCCCAAATAACTCCCCTTATTAACCCTACCTTGCCCCTTTTAAAATGTCTTCCCTACCCTCCCTGTGATTTGGGAGCTACACTTAAGTCTGTTTCTCATCTGTATCTCGAGTCACTTCTGACAACCCTGGCAGAAACCCAAAGACAAATATAGCAAAACTAAAGAGAGAATTGTAGGACAAGGCAATTAGGAAAAGAATGCTTCTTCTGTGAGACCGCAGGCTTTCCAAATGTGGGGGACTGTTTCTCACTATCAGCATCATAGGAGTGGGACCTGTGTCTCATCAACCAGGGAGAGTAAGGAAGAAATAGGCTCAGACAGGGTTTAAAACTTATTCAAGCCCTGCTGATATGTCTCTGTGTTTGAACATTCACCCATCAACTAGGAGGTTGTGGTTCAATTCCCAGTTAGAGCACACACCTGGGTTGCAGGCTTGATCCCCCAGTGAGGGAAATGCAGGAGGCAGCCGATCAATGATTCCCTCTCATCATTGACGTTTCTACCTCTCTCCCCCTCTCCCTTCCTCTCTCTGAAATCAATAAAAACATATTTTAAAAATTAAATTTAAAAAATGTACTTAAGATCACTGTGCTGGGATTTGAACACAGGCCCATGGGACTTTGGAGATCATGCTTTGCCACCAGCACAGGCTGGAGTGAGTCATGGTCAGGGTCAGGCTGTCTGGAGCCAACTCAGCCACTGTTCAGTGACCATCTACCTTTCAGCCTTGATCTCTGTCCTCAGGTCCAGACAGAGATGACTCACTAGGAAGCAGGGTCAGCCTCAGGTACTACTTTATTATTATTATCACTACTTTCATTAGCCAAATCATTGACTGCTTATTAAGCAGTTAGCCAGTGACGTGGGATGTGCCCTGCACTGACACACCCTGGCCTTGGGATAGTGACAGATCCTAGAATTGATGATGCCACAAAAAGCCAACATGCACTCACCATCCATCCATCATTCCATCATTCAACATTTCTCTTGACATCCACTGTGCCAGACCCTGGGCTAGTGCCAAGTGACATAGAATAAATAAGATATGGTCCCTGATTTCTTTGAACATCCTGTCTAAGGTGAAGAGAGACACATAAGTAGTACTTATAACACAGAATGATCTGAAGTGTAATAGAAGGAATACAATGGGCAGCAGGAGATAAGAAGAGGAAATGATTAAATCTGCCTTGGGGGTACACAGATAATAATTTAATTTTAAAAATGTAAATCAATCAATCAATCAATCAATCAATAAATCTGCCTTGGGGGGGTGGGGAATCTGCCTGGAGGTGGGGAAAATGCTTTAACCCAGTGGCGACTGCTCTGACCTAAAGAGAATGAACAGGAGTTACCAGGCAAATCTAGGGAAGAACATTCCAAACAGACAGGATGGTAGGTGCAAGGGCATAGACTTATCAGAGAGCAAAGGTGCTTAGCTAACTACAAGTAGTCTTGCCCCTGGGACCCAGGGCAGCAAGAGATGGTAGACAGAGACAGAACAATGGAGCAGAGAAAGGCAACCCCAGGGAGGAGGAGACACACAGAGAGAGAAACATCAATGTGAGAGACACATCAATTAGTTGCCTCCAGCATGTGCCCCACCAGAGCCAGGGATTGAGCCTGCAACTAAGGTAGGGGTCCCTTGACCGGAATCAAACCTGGGACCCTTCAGTGCATGGCCGACACTCTATCCACTGAGACAAACCAGTTAGGTATGCTATTTTGTGTCTTGAAAGGTCAGGGATGCAGCAACAGGCTGAAGCAGCGCAGGAGCCCGCGGAGAACAAAGGGGTGCCACAGGCCAACCTGCTGAGCTTCCAGGACAAGGAGGAAGAAACCAAAGAAGTTCTCAATGTGAAAAAATCAAGTGAGAGCAAATGATAGTAAAATTACTTAAGAAAGAATACAAAGAAGATCTTGAAAAATCAAAGACTAAGTCAGAACTCAACTCACCAGCCAACATTGCAACATAAATGCGTTTAAAAAAAAAGAAAAAGGACAGAATGTTGGAACAGCGGCGGCCAGGCCTAGAGTGGCCAGGCACAAGGCAGTGGCAGCCAGGCCCGGAGCAGCAATGACAAGGCCCCAGAGCAGCAGCAGCCAGAACCATAGCATCAACAGCCAGCACTGGAGCAGCCAGACCTGGGGCAGTGGCAGCCAGGCCTGAGGTGGAGGCAGCCAAGCCCAGGGAGGCCAGTCCAGGAACACCCAGACCCGGAGTGGCCGGGCCCTTAGAAGCCGGGCCCAGAGCAGCCGGATTGGGAGCAGCCAGGCCCAGAACAGCAGTAGCCAAGCCCTGAGCATCCAGGCCGGGAGCGGCCAGGCTCGGAGTGGCCGGGCCCGGGGCAGCCGAGCCCAGAGCAACCGAGTTGGATACGGCCAGGCCCGGAGCAGCGGCTGCCAGGCTAGGGGCATCCAGGCCTGGAGCAGCCGGGTCGGGTGCAGCCAGGCCCGGAGCAGCGGCTGCCAGGCTGGGAGCAGCCAGGCCCGGAGCAGCCGGGTCTGATGCGGCCAGGCCTGGAGCAGCGGCTGCCAGGCTG